CGGCTCGTTTGAGGACGGCCGCTTCCGATGAGCGCGTGCGTGCGGGGACGAGGGCCCAGAGCTGAGCTGTGCATGCTGCTGCGCGCTGGTCATTCGCCCGCGCAAGCTTGGTGATGCGGTTCCACTCGCTGCACGACGTGCATTCATTCACGATTCGTGATTACAGGTATTCACCATTCACGCTTGAGATTCTTGGTTCCCATTCAGGCCTGCTGCCTCGGTTGTTGTAAGGAAGCGCCTGGGCTTAGCGCAACCGCAAATCGAATTTGATTGAGGATCACGATGAACGCTGAATTGTCAATTACAATCAGAATTTGTAATTGTGAATAAATGGAGGGCAAGGGTCGTGAGTCAAGAATCGTGAATGTCGACGATACTTGATGCGTGACTCAAGATTGCGATCAGGATGAGCTTGGATCATGCAGACATGCCAGAGCTAAATAGTAGTCAGAGTACGTGTGACTGTGTGAGTTTTGGGTGTCTCGGTAATGTCCGATCGTGGCCGTGGACGTCCCAATATCAGCTCAAGACTCGTGACCCTCTTGACCAGCCACAAGGATGAGCAGCCCGAGCAGCGGTCATTTGAGCATAAAGCCGGGTCTGCGCGTGACTTCGACTCTGAAGCGAGGAACCGCTTATGTAGCGGGAAACGAAACAGAAAGTCATGGATGAGCAGCACCCTCTTGCTCTGCCCCTGAAGAATATGCTTGGATGAAGGGCCTGGTGTCGTCGCAAGCGGGGGCCGCCAAGCAGACCCGAGGCGGAGGAGCTGTCAGGACGAGTGGTGGAGAATGAAGAGTCGGTCAAGATTCTGAGTGCAGATGCCTATAGCTGCATGCATATGCTGCTGGAGCTCAACTTCTGCCTGCATCCCCGCATCATCAGCGAGCTTGCTGCTTTGCAAAGGTCACCCACCGGTCACCTGTCACCTCGTGACTATTGATTGACTCTGAATCAGAATCGTGACCCCGCAGTCTGATTGCTGCTGGAGAGCGCAGCGTCGGCTACTTGGTTGCTGCTGGTCTCATGCCCTTCGGCTTGGAGTCGTGAGTGGAGCAGGCCCGGCTCTGCACCCGCATTGCTGGTGTGCATGCGCGCGTGTGGATCAGAGCGGGCAGTGGGAGCAGCACAGCTGCACGCTTTGAACGAGGCCCTGCCTGCTGCCTGCTGCCTGCTGCTGCACAACCTAAGCGAAGGCAGCCGCAACCCACTAACTGCAGAAGGCGGGCTCGGCGACGCGCAGCATCACCTCGGTCAAGCCGATCGATTCTGTCTCTGCTTCAAGCTCCGATGGCAGCCTGTCCCGGTTACAAAAAGGTACGTTCGAAGGTGATTGGGGCCTTCGCTTGATCAGTGCACTCCCCCCAAGGCGCTGCCAGAAATCAAGTTACACCTCTGCAAAAGATCGAGGTTCACTTACGGCCACTACTACTACGCTTCGCGCACAACAATTTCACGCTGTGCACGTTGGACCGGACCGGAAACGCCCCGCACAGTCACATCTGCCGGTCGCCGCCTTGCGGCTGAGTGGGCGCCAGGCACACACGCTGCCACAATCTTCAACGTGAACGATCTTCATCTTCGACTGTAACGCGCGAAGCGCTGCTCCCCCTGAAAGCCTTACGAGATGCCGCAACCACGCAGGACAGACTCCAATGCGCACGGACGCAAGGCGGTCAAGGAGCTAGACGTGCTCCACGAAGGATGGGTGCTCAAGAAGAAGCGCAAGAAGATGCAAGGTGAGTCGTTCGGCAATCGCGATAGCCCGTTGGCTTGCTTCAGATTCACCACTGAGGCTGCGAACGTCGCGATGTGGTACGGACGCGCTATGCCCTCATGGCCAGCCTTGCACAGTTGCGTCCGGACGAGCTCTTTCCTGACTGCGAAACCCTCCCGCAGGATACGCCAAACGCTACCTGATTCTGACCAAACAGGGCACCTTGACATACGCTCTCACACCCGAGAAGCTTACTCGAGATGCCATCGAGATTCCCCACGCTAGTGTCACTAGCAGTCAGAGGCAAGGTGAGCTGCTTTCCGCGCTGAAGATACACCCGAGGTCTCACGCTCACGTCCCCGGTTGCCGTCGCGCTGTTAGGCACTCTGCATGTGGATAGTGGCAGCTCGGTCTTCCGTGAGTGTTTCTCGACATTGACCTTGACGGCGCCTCACTGAACATCCCTTTGCACTCGTGTTGCAGACATCAAGATGCTGAATCCTCAGGACTTCAATGCCTGGCGAGCGCACCTCCGATCATTCATTCCAGAGCGCGAGCCTGGCTCCGCCCAGCGCATATATGTGGCCTCGGATAATGGTTCTGACCTTCAAACAGTCGACCTCAGCCCACTGTTCACTGCCAATGAAAATGTCGCAAAGCTCATTGCGGAAGTGCAAAAGAAGGTCGGAACGCTGAAGGAGAAAGGACAGCCACTTCTCAGTTCTCTTCTGCCCGTCTTCGGTGAGTCCGCAGCGTGGCGCTATAGCGACGGGAAGGTGGTAAACAATGATGCTCACACCCTGCTGCGTCTTTCTGCAGAGGGTCAAGATGGCAAGACCGTCGCCGAGCTGGACTCGCTGGTGGAATCATTGGCCGCTGAGCACCTCAACCTGCAACATGCACTCGAGACCAAAATCCCGAAGGTCGGTGGGCCCGACGGAACTATGGACACTTTGAAGTCTCGAGTCGCTAGCTCCAGAATGAGCATCAGCAGTTTCCACACCACGCACACTGGTGGAGACGCGACCTTCTTCGACGCAGATGCGGCCGCTGGAGCTGAATTCGGCCTGGATGAGGATGGAGAGAAGCAAGAGAGCGCGGACAACTCACGGATCGAGGAGTCCAGTGGAGCAGAAGACGACGATGATGACGAGAGCGGGGAAGACGAAGGGGATAAGAAGGCTGCCAATACAAAGGGCAAGGCGACCGCGAACGCCTCTACCAACGGTAGCGTGCAGTACAGGAAGAAATTGCCTGCTCCTGTTTCCGGCGATGAAGTCAGCTTGTTCTCCATGCTCAAAAAGAACGTCGGCAAAGATCTCAGCACCGTCTCATTCCCCGTCTCCTTCAATTGCCCACTAAGCTTGCTCCAAGCAGCGGCGGAGGAGTACGAATACGCGCCTGCACTCCTTGAGCGCGCTTCGAAGACCCAGGATTGGGTGGAGCGGATCTGCTTGGTTGGTGCATTCGCTGTCAGCGGGTATGCTGCGTCGAAGCTGAGGGCGAGCCGGAAGCCGTGAGTGCACGACTCGCGCGATCTGTCGTTGACCGTATCGGCTGACCTTCAGCCTGCGACCACCTGCGCCACCTGCAGATGGAACCCACTGCTCGGCGAGACGTTCGAATGCGTTAGAGAAGATCAGCACCTGCGTTTTGTTGCCGAAAAGGTGGTGCATCAGCCGCCAGTGGTCGCTACATACGCGGAGGGCAAGGGCTGGCGCTGCCACGGCTGGAGCGCTGTCAAGAACAAGTAAGTTGGGAAAGCGGCTCCAGGCCAGGTGCAGGACAGTCCGGCTGATCGGCTTCATGATCGATACAGGTTCTGGGGCAAATCGCTTGAGCTCATACCAGAGGGCAGCCTGAGACTTGAGCTTGACGATGGCGATGCTTTCAGCTTCAGCAAGCCAAGCAGCTTTATGCGCAATCTGCTAGCCGGCAACAAATACCTGGAACACGTAGGCGAATTGACCGTCACCAATGAGAACACCGGTCAGCGTTTGGTTCTTGAGTTCAAAGAGGGCAACATGTGGGGCTCAAACTCTAGCCGGAACCTGGTCCACGGCGAAGTGTTTGACGAGAAGGGCAAGTCCGTTTCTTCTCTTCGCGGCAAGTGGAGTGATAATCTGGCCATTCAGAAGGATAAGGAGAATTATCAATTGCTTTGGGAAGCCGCCGAGATGCCGCCAGATGCAGAAAAGTACTATGGATTCACTTACTTTGCCCTCTCTCTCAACGAGATTACCAAGGATGTGAAGCCCTACTTGCCCCCCACCGATTCTCGTTTCCGACCCGATCAGCGCGCCTTCGAAGAGGGCAAAGTCGACGAGGCCGAGGAGCTGAAACAAAAGGTCGAGCAAGCACAACGAGAGAGGAGAAAGGCTGGCAAGAGCTACGAGCCCAGATGGTTCCACAAAGAAGACGACGATCCGGAGTGGAAGTACGGAAGCAAAGATGGCAAGACTTACTTCAAGAGTCGTGCCAAGGCTGCTGGCGACTCGTCGGCAGACAAGGAAGAAGGCAAGCCCGCGGGCGATGGCAAGAATGTGTGGTCTGATTGTCCAAAGTGAGTCGTCTAGCCGCATGTCAGAATACAGGGCCTGCGCTCACTCATCAGCTGCGGATTGGATGTCTTGCCCCACCGTGATAGCCTTTTCGAACCCTGAGTGCCTGAGTGGCGGATCCGTGCCGAGCCCGCGGCACCTCTGTCAGGTCTCTTTGCGACTTTGCTAGCCTATGCGCACATTCTTCACAAGCTGTCTCTCATCTCATTCTCATGCTCACAAGCTACCGGATTCGTCGCTGAATGAACATTCTCTTCTGCTTTCTTCGCGACGCCGCGCACTGTAGTGGGAAAGCTGCGACGTGTGTTCTCACATGTAGGATTGCTTGTTCCACAGCGATGCAAGATTCACCGCTTTCGGCAGATCAGATTTTGGTGAGACAGTGGGCTGCAACCTCGCGAGACAATTGGCATAGATCTCGAGGAAATGATTTGCCTAATCTATCAGAACAAAGGTATCCATTTCGTCGGCACGACCATATTTTGTATTTTCAGTGATACGTAAGATGTTGACCAGACGTCCTAAATTCGCAAGAAGCACTATCGTGAATCTGATTTACGGCCCGGGATGAGAGAAGCGCAAGAAGAGAAAGGAGCGGTGCTGGTGCCCTTTACAATGCTGTGCGTCCTTGACTCTCCACGCGCAGAGTGAGCATGAGGAGACCGCAAAAGATGAACATGGCGCCAGATGTGAAAAGAGGTGCATTGACACCTGGTCCGCTCTCCGAAGCACCGTAGATTCTAATGATGGGAGACATCAATCCGAAGATACGGTTGAGCGAGCTTGCAATGCCGTCTCCGGTTCCGCGCACAGGCGATGGGAAGCTTTCGGGGGTGTAGGCGTAGAGCACACCGTACATGATGTTCTGGAGAGGAGGAGAAATTCAAAGGGCGAGGCTTGAGCTCGAGCGCAATGGTGCAGAGCATCATGAAAGGACCTTGCAGATCACTCACCTGGAACAGTGCCTCGAGACACAGGAAAGTCAAGAAAGCGCCCTTGTTTGGCGACTGGGTGGAAACGATGACAAAGATACCAGTCAGGAGCGTGCCGAGCGCCATAGCACCGCGACGTCCAGAGCGAGGCATCTCGACCATCCAGGCAGCAATCAGAGATCCAGGTACACCGCAGATGGAAATGTAAGCGTACTGAGAGTAGGTCTCGTTGACACTGGCGTTCCCAGTACCGACGCTCCTCGATTCGAGGTACAGAGGCAGAAAAGCGTTGAAGAGCGGGTAGGCGAGACCGATGAAGGACCAGAGCACAAAGATGATCGAGGTGTTGTAGGCAAGCTTAGGCGTGGCGAAGAGAGGCTTCACAAGCTTGAGATCGGGCTTCAAATGCGCTGGGCTGAAGTTCTTTGTAGCCGCGAAGAGCTGCTTGGGCACCGCAAGAAGACCTGCGAGACCGCGCTTCTCGGGCACAATCTCGTCAGCATCTGACATCTCATGAGCTTCGCCAGCAGCGGAACGCAGGAGCGCTACCGAGAGGATGTCGTCACCAAGCTCTTTGCCGCTGCGGCGGGCGATTTCCTTGACGACCTGGACAGCTTCTGCATCACGACCCTGAGACAGCAGGTACTTGGGAGACTCCGGCAATTGGAAGACGACAAAGCGGAAGAACCATCCAGCCAGCGTGACGGCTCCCAGAGTGTAGAAAGTGTATCTCCAGCCTTGGTTCTCCGACGAGATGCACACACCGGAAGTAGCAATGTCAGTGTTGTCCCCAGAGCAAGTATAGTTGACGATGAAGACCCATGCAACAAGGGAAGCAATGAGTTGCTGGAGAGAGCAGAGTGAGGAAATTCTGTCTTAGACCACGCCGTAGCCTCAAGTAGCACACGATCAGTATCTCAAGCACTCACACCAATAGACCAGAAGACGGAGAGCAGGGTCAAAAGATACTGCTTGGATCCGGGGATAAACTAGAGCAGGAGAAAATCGTATCAGTGTATGCCATCACTCCTAAGACTGCTTGTCGCGCCACTCACCTCCAGGAAGAGCATGCCGTCCACGGGCAAGTTACCGCCGAGGCCGACACCGAGGGCAGCAAGCAAACCACCCAGAGCGACCTCGTTGCGAGCACCTCCAGCCGCGATACCAAATACACCAGCGAGGAAAAGGGTAATGTTAAAAGCGGGACGACGACCAATGATGTCTGCTGCGACACCCCAGCCTGCAGCACCGAGGATGAGACCAATGTAGAGTGCAAAGGTCATCCACTCGACGTGTTGGGGCGCAAATTCACGGTTGACCTGAGGCAAAATGATGGCGACACCCTCTGCGGACCAGACAAGCCTTCGTGTGAGTTGCATCCACGCCTAACGCCTTTTTTGAGCACGTCTACGAAGACTCACGGAGCCAAAGGTTGTCCACTGCGGCCAGCGATCGAAAAGGGGCCAAAGGATTCAGTACCGAGCTGGAAATGCCTCATGCTAGATGCTGCAGCCGCATCCGAGGTCTTCCCTTTTTGCTCGGTGGGCCAAGAACACTCAAGACACTCACCAAGCCAGCCATAACCCGAAAGAAGCATGAGCCCCCAGTGCCATCTGGAGAATCCGACGTGCTCATTCATCACGCGGTTGATGATGTACACTTTCTTCAGGTAGCTTTGGGAAAGAGCGGCTCCCTCGACATGCTCGGGATCCTCCGAGGTGACATCGATGTAAGGAGCCTTCTCGTCGGCCTCCTTGAAGGAGTCTTGCTGTCCCTTCTCCTCCACCTTCGACACCTCCGTAGCCTCAACTTTGGGACTAGTCGACATGGTGATACGGGTGGTAATTGCTGCGAGACTGGCAGTGACGTATGCCGACTCTGTTTGTGGCCGGGACAACTTTGATCGCGCGCGGACCAGAAGTGTTTATAGAGAAAGCCACGCGCTTGAGCTTGTATAGCGCGACAGGCCGGTAGTCGCCGGAAAGAGGCGCACAAATGACAAGCGTGCGGAGAGGATCGGGGTGAAGTGCAGACCTGAATATTGTGAAGCCACGCGGCGGTCTGTCGAGTCGATTCACGGGTGCGTTATCAGGAGGGAGGGGGGTGTCGGCGAGTCGGGGAGAGAGGTATGGCCTGATTATGAATGTTTTCAGGGCGCTGGAAGCAACATGCAGCTGCAGGCCGACTAAGCCAAGAGGAAGATTGCAGCAACGGCGCAAGACAGAGCAGAGCACAAGGCCACTCACGACTTTCGACATGCAGTAGACCGCGAGAGAGCGACAAGCATGTGTGTCTTCTCGTGCCTATAGTCCTCGGGTTGTGATTAGAACAGTAGAGAGGTGGGTCCGGTTTCAAATGCAGGACTGCATGTACGGTACCCACCGGTGCGCGGGAGGAGTTGTACGTCAGCTCGGTAGATGTGACCCAGCGGCGGCGGGGGTGCAACGGCCACCGGCCATGCATGCAGCTAGCTTACCGACAGATTCAGGCCGCCACGAGCCTCAGACGAAGCACACGGCGTGTGTCTCTGGCGTCACGATCGTCTGCAAGAATGCCTGCATGGGAAGAAGACTCGCAGTCGGAGTCGCCACGAAATTGCACCGCTCTCGCGCCCGCGCATCCAACTCCAAGACGTACGTGCAGGTCAAGAGTCACGAGTTCAGTGCAGTGCAGTAAATCGGCGGGTGGCTTGCATGTATAGACTCTGCACCTAGCTGAGCCAACAGCTTTGACTCACGCGGCAGCATATTTTTCAGCTTCAGCCATGTGATGCAGCACTTTGTCGCAGTCATTTCGGACCCATCCAGCTATCAAGTCATGAGTGGTGCGTGTCGGTGCTCGCTCGCTCGCTCGAACGCTGCTGCTGAAGTTGCATCGATCCTCATCGTACCTACATATATGTCCGGCAACCAAACGCACGCACACGACGCGGCCCTCCTCAACGCGCGCTCAGAGAGGTCCCAGACGAGGTCTCTCGATGCCCGAGACTATGACTTTGGCTCGTGTGCGTGATCTTCTCACCGATGAACGAATACGCTGGCATGTGGACGCCTCTGAGCTTGGTGCTTCCCCGAGCTCGCATGCACAGGCTGGTCAGCACTTGGACGGGGCGTGCAAGCGATTGATTCACAAATCACGATCAAAGGACGCGCGCGGGGCAACGCATGCGACCAAGCGAGGAACGGGCCCAGAAAGGCTTCCACTCGACGCACAGCAGGCACGTCGAGCAGCAAGTGCCGAGCGATCGCTTGGGAAGCGTCGAAATTTAGAGCTTCTTCTCGTCTTGCGTCTAGACCGCTCCAATCATCGCATCGAGAGTCCACGAAGTGCACCTAGTCAACGGCCAGAACCTTTTCCACATCGACTCACACTTCGCTTGCACGAAGGTCCCGTGGCAGCAGCAGGCTGCTGAGACCGACCTGCCACTCATCATGCTTCGACCATCTACTGCCCGTCTCTTTGGCACACGTCGAGATCCGCCGTGGATGTTTGCACCTCTCACAATAAGTCCATGGCCAAGTCTCGACGGACCGCGGTCAAGCTCGGAGTCGACAACAGCTGATGAAAATGTGAAGAGATGACCTCCTCAACGCCTTTCAGCCAATCACGGACTTCTAAGAGACCGGCCGAGCCGGCGACCGATCGAGGAGCGATCACGATGTAATCACGCATCACCGAATGGTCGCGCATGACGCTGCGCCACTCCTATTACAGTAATTAGTATATTTAGTCGCGCTCGGCTCCAGGAACTGATGAATATCTTTGCCGCTGTGTGGGAAGGCAAGTTTCCAACGTTCCTGAGCAAGTGATCTGCTGCTGCTGCTGATGCTGCGATGAGCGAGCCAAGAGGGAGAGGCAAGGTGTCGTATGCATGCATGCCACGCCACAGGCTGTGTTTTCTGGCGATCAAGGCTTGCTCTGCTCTGACGCTGCTCGGGGTGTGACACTTGTTGACTCTTCTGCTCTAGTGCTCCCCTCTGTCGCCTTGATCGGCGTATGTGCCGCCAGGCTGCGCGTATTTTGCCACAGCTCTCGCCCTGGCCCTCGCGTGGAGTGTGGGGACGATCTGCCTACAGCCGCTGCATGTTGAATCGCATGCAATGGTGATTATTACGGGCGACACGCAAAAGTCGAAGAGGTCGCGAGAGTGCATTCAAAGTTCGCATCGTCCGCCTCGCCCGCCTCGCCCGTCGCCTATAGCTACCATTTCAAAGATTGCTTTCTATTCACGTGACCGACCCTCGTGAGCCTAGTAGAAAGACGAGCTCAGCTCTCTCTGAGTTGGATGGATGCAAGTCACCATTCAGATTCTTGCTGTATCAGCGTCAGCATCTCGCTTTGAGACGCTCACTCTTGACTCGAACAATGAATTGGCTTTGGCCAGAAAGACGTCACTGATGTGCAAAAGCTCTGCTCACGCTTCCCACTGTGGGAGTGGAGGCGACGGAGCAGTCGTTCAGAGCGACGCGCAATCGCTTCAAGATTGCGGCCGCGGCGGCAAAAGCGTCGTGGGGTCGGTCAATCATCGAGAATTTGATATGATAGGCAAAACTTCGGCCCATCTCCGAACAGAAGCCGTCGCCGTCTACAGTCAAGAGTGCGCCATCCCCACCTTATCGTATCTTGATATCGCCTCACCTGCCAACTCGAGTCTCACTTGCAAAAGGCGTCGCAAGTGTTCCGACACGCGCGAGCGAACCAAGTGATAGGCTACCAGATGATGAGCTTCCAAACTTGGCCCACCATGTCCCATCCCAGTGAGAGTTGTTCATTTGAAGGGGGGCATGGATACGGAGGACCGCGCATGCCTAAGATTCATGCTGTCCTATGCAAGATTTGTCATCTATGTTACAGAAATTGAAAATTGCGTTGTGGAAACACGGTTCTGGCGAAACTCTATACCTTGCCTTTGCCGCTCAGTTGTACCTTCTCCGCCGCTTCTAGCTTCTCCGCCTCCCTCTTTGCTCGCCATCCAGAGCTCTTGATAATGGTCAATGGGACCAAGGGTGCGGAAGCGAGCGTGATCAATCCTAGTAGGGTAAATGTCCAACCCCTTCCGATGCCCTTGAGGATGTATTGGATGATGGCGGTTGATACAGCAGAGGACAAACAGCGGCAGAGGCTGCCGTCGTTCAAAGAGCAGAATTGCGTTAGAACAAGGCATCTAGGATGTTGGCGTCAGCAATCAACGCTGCATTGCGAAACTCACTTGTTGCAAGCAGTCACAGAAGCACCTTGACTAGCGAGATAATCGACCAACAAGACTTGCGTGATCGCCATGATGCCGCCGACCGAGGCAGCATTGAAAAAGAACAAGATGATGGGAACGGAGATGTGCACTTCTGATTGAAGGCACCAGCCGTAGCCAATGAATGTCGCGCTCGCCACAAAGATGTAGATTGGGTACCTCTTAAAGCGCGCAGCTTCCAGCGGAACCGCTTGAGTGGCTGGTGGCGTGGACAAGGCAACCGCCGCCGAGGCATGCGCGGTGGAAGAAGTGCGACGAGAAGAAGTAGGATGCAAAGCCTCTCGCGTAGCCTCGTTGAAGGCGTCATCTGCTCTACCTTTGATCCCGTTCTGCTCGCTGTTCGGTGAGAGGTTGGCAGCAGCGTCTGTCTGCTCTGCACCCTTCTCAGCCGAGTTGGCCTCCACGTCACTCTTCGACCGCGCTTCGACCTTGGCCTTAGCAGTCGCATAGTCATGGTCCATGATCCAACCACTCAAAATGCTCGCCAGCACCGTACCGCTTCCGCTAGAGAGAAAGATCAGACCACTTTGCAAGGTGTTGAGGCCGTACACACCAGCAAACGGGTCGCTGATCGTTGTTGTCCAGCAGTAGAATGCGGCGTACGGAATGGCGTTGATGACTAGTAGCAAAGTGATTTCGTACCTGGCAAATAAGCGTAGAGGCCTGAGAGGTCTGGAGAGGTAAGATAGAATTCTTCTGCTGCGGCTCATGCCTGCATGAGAGGGATCCGAGGGCCAACCCTTTCGCCTTTCTCCCTTGAGCTGGGACGCCGTCTTGCCCCGAATCAGCGTCCACAGAGCTTCGTGCCACACTGTCGGTGGAGGGGTGCTGCCGTTGCCCACAAGAGATCGGAGAGTCTCGGGCAGGAAGAGAACTAGCAAGAGCAGCGCCACCGCGCCCAAAGCAAACAGGAGCCAAAAGATCGCTCTCCAGCCTGCCTCCTCGCCAATGATACCGCCAACGATGGGCCCAATCGAAGGCCCGCCTGGCCGCGGCATCCAACAAAAAGTCGCGTCAGCGCTTCATGAGCCATCGAATGACACCACGAAGCTGCTCACCAGCTATGCCAGCCTGAAAGATGCCGTAAGCTCTGCCTCGCCTATGCGTAGGGATCACATCCCCAATGGCACCTGCGCCAATGCTAATCAGACTTGCTGACCCCATGGCTTGGATGAGTCGGAGGACTAGCAAACCGGGATAGCTGTCAGGCAGGTTGGCCAGCACGACGTTTGCGACTGCGTAGATGATGAGGCAGATGAAGAAGATGGGTCTCCGCCCTGCAAGGTCGGTGTACGATCCGAAGATGAGCGGGAAAATGCCTTGACCTGTCCGGGAATGGCGTCATGGATTCCAAAATTCGCTGCTGCTCAGTCTGATTGCTTCGATTAAACATGAAAGACGGCGCCAGATGCTCAGCCCACTTACCGACTGCAAAGATGGTGACGGAAAGCGTCGCATCTTCGATGGGGACATTGAGGTCTCTCGAGATCTCAGATAGCACGGGCAGGATAGCATTGGCAGTGAGAGGCGATAAGAAGGCAGCGAGCGTAGCAGCTGCGATAATGATGCTGACAAGAACGATGATGAATGAGTGAGTCGTCTTTGCCGCGCAATCAGCGACGTGTGACAGGCGCGCGACCTCTACTGACTGTATTTGCCCAGAGCTGAACGTCGAGTATGGCTCCTCTGCAATTTGATCCGCTTTCACCTTCCCACCCTTCCTTTCTCTGCTGAATGCTTCATCGTCCTTGTGAGGAGCATCTTCGTCTCCAAGGCCTTCCACGGAACATCCTCGCTCCGCCTGAGATCCTAGCCAAGCTGCGCTCGCCCCAGCTGCTCCACCAGGTCCTCCGTCGCCGGTCGGCACCGCTAAAGCTGCTTTACCATCCGCCATGCCAAGCGTGTCGGGGTCTTGCGCAGCGCAAGAAGCTCAATTATGCGAGCTTTCTTTTAGATTCCGGGTCCTGGCCAATCGATGGAACAACCACGGCGCGGTGAGGTGGATGACAGGGTTTGTTCGTGCTGTCTATGCGGAGCAAGAGCGGGCGAGAGAGCTTCGGAAGAGCGCTCGCTGCCTTGAGCTGTATCAGATGTGTATCACGAGGTTGCAGATGGAACGAAGACTCAAGATCTAGTAGACGGATCAGATCCGGTGACTGCCCAGGTGTGTGTATATATGTCTCTTTCGAAGCGCACCCTGATGGCGATTTGGACGCAGAGCTGAGCTGATGGCACCATCCCGCGAAGGCTCACTCACGCACAGTCACAATCAAGAGCTCTGCTGCACGGCACGCACGCAAATCCCCGCATCGTACATGTATTACGTGCAGCAACTCTTACACACACCTCGGCACGTCCGATAATGCCGGACACGCAGCGCGTCTGTGGTTTGGCCGAGCGGTGAGCACGAAGACCGAACAAAGCCGAAGTGTTGGCGCAACCATCACTCGTCGGGACATGCACACTTAAGTTCAGCGGTGCGATCACTGGTGCGGACGGCTTAGCGACCTGTGCGGGCTGGATGTCGACGGAAAAGCGCCATGGAGCCTCGATCTCACTGTTGGACGTGTGGCACTCAGCAATGCCGCTCAGAAATTGACAGCCAAGAAGATGAAGTTAGTTACCCCAGCGGACGTGATGTGTGTGAAATGAGACAGGAATAGCATGCGAGGTGCGGTGCACGCGAGAGCGAGTTGTGGCATGTGAACTAATGCGTGAAGTATCTCTAAGTGCGATTGATGAAACGGCGATGCTACATATCGAGGTGAGCATCTCTGGGCAGAAGCCCACCTTGCTAGGATGTATTGCTGACGAGAACGAGCTCGAGGCGGCTGGCGTTAGGACGGTCTACATCCCACCCCAACCGCTGGGGGCAACAGATCAGTCGAAAATGGCGTCAGCTTGCTGCATCGGGCGGCTGATTCGCATTGGTGTGGTGCACTCACCCGTTGTCCATAGAAGCTTCTAGTTTGCGTGCTACAAAATGGCAGACCGAATGATTGAGCCACTGCTTGCGCAGCTCATCGTACCTTTGCATGTGCAACCTTTGAGGCCTGCCTTTCCTGAGCCCTATGTCTAGCTCTCCATGCGTGTCTAGGTAGGGACTATACGTGAAGCTGCCATTTCCAGCGTAGAGCAAGAGCACAATGTTTGTCTTGACCTTGAAAAAGAGGCCCATTGATCCTCCGCACTCGTCGAGATGCCAGTTGCATTCCCCTCTTCCGCTCGCCTCGTCCTCGCAGCAGAAGCTCTGGAAGCAGACTGTAGCACCGCATGTCAGACAGATTGCTGGCTCGGCAGGCGACTCTCCGCAGCGCTTGCAAACGACTCGTTGAGTATCCTGCAGCAGCGCAGCCAAATCGTGTGGAAGCGTGAGCAGCTCGTAGATTGCCGGATGTTCTAGCTGGACCATAGGATGCGCAGAGGATGAGTGCAAGTGTGCGCTAGCACTAGAAAGAGACAGCGGAGAAGGGTGAATAGGCAGAGGCCTGAATAATGAGGCCATAGCGTTGTACGCATGCTTGATCCATCCCTCGATGATTCCAGTCAATGCGGTTTGTCGCTCTACGCGTGGAGGTATAGCCTCAGCTGGGGTTGGGATGCGCATCGCGCGCATTAGGCGCAAATACTCCATCGAGCCTCCCGGTCCATCAGCGCTACCGCTTGTCGATGCGAGCGGAACTTTCAAGGCGGCATGTAGGATGGCGGCTCGACGCAGGAAAGGCAGCGTGTACGAACACAGCATCTTGCCCAAGCTGGCATCATCTAGGCCATCCACGCCCAAGGTGATCTGGCCCCAGGCGTAGCCAACGTAGCCAATGATGTTTGCCAAGGTCCATCTCACATCCGGAAAGATGCTTTTGATGGCGGCAAGTTCGTCAGCAGACACTGTGGATGCCCGCACACCGAATCCAGTCGCTCGACCAAGCCCCCCGCCATTCTGAGGCCAGACGCTTGGCTGCGCTATACCAAAGATCGTATGAACCAGAGTGGCGTAGTACATGAGAGTCGTGACGTGACCCAAGCTTGCAGGCGCGAGAATTGCCGTCTCTATCAGGATGGTAAGCGGATCGCGCAAAAGCAGTGGTGAAGCTACGCTCGCATCGTTGCCCCAGTGAGGTAGCAGCCGCTTGAGAAGACCTTGTTGCATGAGTGCAAGAGCTTTGTTCCCAAGGGGCGCCGTGACATCGCTGCCTTTAGCACTGCCAGGCACCGAGCGGGCAATACCGCTGAGACAATGCAGGAGAGAGCGTATCACCTCCATCGTGTGGGGCAGAATCGCATCGCCAATCGCCGAGCCGCTCGTCTCCGAAGTCGGCGATGTCGAGCCGGACGACGTGCCTCGGTGCGCTACTTCGAGCATGCCAACGGTGTAGGCAACGAGCTCCTCGGGCATGTACATCTTCTTGCCAGGAAGTGCGGTGATGCTACGGGCGGACCACGTCTCCCGAGCTGATCTGGTCTGGGCCGACAGAGGTCTGAGCACAACAATGAGCCGATCAAGCATCTTCATCGTGTCCTGGTCCAGACTGCTGTCGGAAGTGGTGTCCACGCGCCAAGTGAAAGCGTTCTCGGCATACCATGGCAAGAATGAACCGGTCCCATTCTCGCCCTCTTGCAGCTCGGCAGACGTGTTGTTGGCAGAGGTTTTCAAGATGTCAATGTTGATCTTTCTCAACCACTCCGAGATAGGCAGTTGGAGCAAAGGCGTGGGCGACAAAGAAGACGCGTCCGGCAACGGCAACAACACGTTCCCAAGGCTCTTGCACAGTGGACAAACGAATTCGTGTCTCCCCAGAACCTCGGGGTGGTTACGAGCAATCTGCTGGGTATGGCGCTGCTCAATGCTTTTGCAGTAAGACTCAAAGCATGAAAGATGCATGGAATGACCACAAGTAGAGGCGTGGAAGCCAGTACGATGGTCCTCTACGGGGTTGAAGAGCTGAGCCGGCCGGCGAGCCTCGTTCTCTTTGGCGGGGTATGTATCTTGCTGCGACACGCGTCGACCGTTCGACCCTCCACGATCAAGGCTTAATGGGACGTCCATCACTTCTTGAAGAGCGTGCGCTTGCCTCCTAGGTGTGGTGCGCATGACGCGGCTCGTCTGGATTAATGCGAGACTGCCGAATGCTCTTTGCCTCTTGAGGTCTTCCTGACAAAGAATGCAGGTCCCTAAAGACTGAGGCTCCCTTTCTTCCTCTCGGCGTCCAACGGCCTGAGCATAGTCGTCGGCATCATCCAGTTCGTCTTCTTCTTCTTCGTCGTCGTCATCATCATCCAATGACTCTAGCAGAGACTTTTGAGCTGCAGAAAATTGGTTCAGGATAGCTGCCTGCCGCGCCTTCGCTGCGGCTCTTTTTGGATCCTCGGCCGGTGCCTTCGCCTTTGCCGAGACGTTCTGGCGGGCGATGCGGTCATGACTCAAAGCCGTAGATGCAGTCAGACGATCCAAACTAATCGCATGATCGATAAGCCAAGTGCACTTCGCCTTAATCGGCTTCGATGAGGTGCGCTTCTCAATGTTCTGCAAGGCGCCAAGCACCGTCGAGGCCTGCCGCAAGGCGGGCGCGCGCAGGAGGGTGGCCAAATTCCTGACAAAGTCACCGCCGCGCTCGACGACTCCTTGAAGCAGAAGCTGCAATGCGGCCTCGACGTACGTGTCGTCGATGGCGCGCTGGTCAGGCTCCGGCTCATCCGCAGAGCCGTACAAATCGAGAGTGGAGAAGATGGCGCGTGTGAGGACTCTGCTGTTCAGCGCTTCGCGCAAGGCATCGACGACGACGCCTTGGCCAGCAGCAAGCCTACGCGTCGGAAGTGCCACGTAATTGTCCGCAGCTTCTTGCATTCCACCGATCTTGCGCTTGTGACGCAGACGGAGCACCTCGTCCGCCTTCTCGCGTTGGTTGCGAGTATAGTGAAAGAAGTAAGGTTGTACCTCATCAAAGTGTTCGTCCTTCAACTCGAAGATTCCCAGGTCGGTAGTGCCACCTGGAGCTCGGAAGTTGGAGACTTGAGCAAGAACGCGATCGAAACTGGAGTGATCACATAAGCGTTCGGAAATGTGCCGCGTGAGGTCGGAGTACTGCCCTTGTCCAAGAGCGAGGAAGTGAACGATCTCGCGTCGCACCTGGTCCTCCATCGAACTTCCGATCGCGATGCCGGTCTCCGAGAACAACGTGATCAGCAGAAGCAGGAGCTCTTCCGCCAAAAACCTCGCCTGGTCGGGATCGATCGGACCGTCGAGCGCGTGATCGCCCTGCATCCACTTCAGAAGGCCGAAGCGATCGATGATGGACACGAGCATGCGATCTGGCGAGATCAGTGCAAGGCCGGCTTGGATGAGGAAGAGATCTTGATCGTACATCACGTCCCGCATCGAATGATCACGATAGTGATGCGCTTGAGATCGGATGGCAAATCCATTGCGCACCCACATCCCAGCTCTTATTTGCGCGAGCTTGACTACCACTCGCAGCGGAAAGTCGATGATGTTGAGAAGAGATTTCTCGTCGATGTCGCTCGGAAATATGTCGGCCAAGCGCAATGCTTGACTCCTTCCATTCGAGAAGGCCCGATTAGCGTGCTTGAGAAGCTCGGCAAAGAGTGCGTGCATGGGATGGTGGAACGACACGGGGGTTCGGTCGACTTCGAAGAGGATGACTTCGTACTGCTCATCGTCAAAATTGACTGGGCGGAATACGATGGGCTCGTACGATTCAGGCAAATTTTGATGCAGGGTGAGAAGATTGAGGAGCAGATTCCTCGCCGCTAGTAGCAACGCATCTTGAAGTTGTCGAGGCGTGGCTTTGTGAAAGGCTTCCCCAAAGAGCTTTGCAACTCTGCCAAGCTGCGTCGAGATGTGGAAGATGGGCACCCACGTTTCGTTCTCGAACTCTACATGCTCCCCAATTGCTCTGCGGTCAGGCGTAATTGCGTTGAAAAGGCTCAGTAAGGAAAGAAGATGCTCCAAGTGAGGGGGTTGCGAGACCAGCAAGTCTTGGACCCCATCGGCCAACAACACGTATCTCAGATCCGAGAAGATATGGTAGCATCGCTGTTGGCGCAGTAGCATCGATGTAGTATTGGCAACGCCATTCAGCGGCGGAAGCGGAGGCAGCTCGATTGCGCGCGCCGACATGAGATTGCCAGTGAAGATGGACTGCAGCATCTGCAAAAGCTTCTGGAAAAAGTTGACGTCAGAACGGAGAACGAGCTCGCGGGCGACCGAAGGGACGCTGAAGAGCTGTACCGTCATAAGACAGATCGAATGTTCGGGCTCGCGGTCCTTCAATATGAAGTTCTCAATCGCTTTCGGATATACTCGAGCAAAGCGAAGAGCTGTCGCGACAAGACGGGGTGAACATATTAGAGCAGCTTTATGACAGATTCCAGAGGATCGTACTTACCAACTTCTCGCCTGACTTCTCGAGCGCCGATGATTGCCATAAGCGTCTTGCGAGTCAAGGCTCTTGCTGCCTTCCACAATCTGATATCGAGAAGCAACAGGGCATCAAGCTTGCGCAAGTCACGAGTGTCGAAGTAGTCGTGCGACATCATACCCTGCTCGACTGGCTTGCGGGGCGACCAGCGCTCGAGCAATGCCTTGCATGTAATGGCACGCATGGCAACTGCATTCGGAACAAGCTTCGCGAGAGGGTGGCTGAAATCGAACATCCTGTCAGACGTTTCCGATGGCACGTATAAGGACGCATTTGCAAGGTCGAAGATCATGCTAAGAACGTGGTGCGCCACCTCTTCTGCAAAGACGTCGTACGTCGCACTGATAGTGGCACCCAAGTCGACAGCGGTAAGCTTCCGAGAAATGACGAGAAGTCGCCGAACGTCTGAAGAGCTGTAGATCACGTCACGGCCCTGTGCAGCGAGGATGGCACGTTAAACCAGCAATGAAGACTGTCTAGGCACGATATATTCGACTTACATGACGATCAATGCGCTCGGCGATCCTCTTTGCTCGGTTTTCGCTGACGTCCACGGCGTCGACCACAGTGTCAATGACCGTCTTGAAGGAGTGCTTCTCATCATTCCAAAGAACGACCGAATACATGCGCTCCGGAGGATTGCCACCTGGAACGCGAGGCTCGGCGTCATTGCGCAGATCTGGCTGTCGCTCGATAGCAGCAATGCTTGGGCGCGGCTTGCATTCAGAGGGCGCATGCTCCACTGTATCGAGGACGTACGTGAGGAGAGTTGTGAGGTGACTGGTCAGGCCCTCGAGAACGTCGCGCGGTACCTTGGCGATCAGCGAGTCCACCAAAGAAGCGCCTGCGCTACCACGCATGGGCGACTTGGCCGACGCGCTAGTGCCAAGCCTTGTCCCACCATCCTCGACAGCAGAGTGATACGTGGAGTGGTCATCCTCCTCATTGTCGGCAAACTCATCGTCCACTGCCATTCGTCCGGAGCCGGCAGGGCCTGCTTCATCCATCGATTCATCACCAGCATAGCCCTCGGCTTGTGACTTCCGACTTTCGTGATACTTGCAACCCAGATGATTTTTCCACGCCTCGTCGTCGCCACAGTCGCAGCAGCCGCCACTGGAAGCGCTGACGCTAAAGACGATGTCATGGCCCTCATGGCTGGAAGCGTTGAAGCAGGGTGCACACTGAACGCAGGTGTCGTCCAGGCCGCAGTCACTGAGGCTCAGAAAAGCACAACGAGTCAAGTCGTATGAGTTGCAGATCAAACTACCAGCACGACTTCCCAATGCACTCACCGACATCGATAGATTGCTTCACCCTTCTTGAAGACGTGGCCACATGGCATGCCACGACGCTCCGCGGAGTACTCTGGACCGAGATCGAATTCGGCTTGACCGGAAAGCGGAAAGGACATTCTGCCCTCCACTCCTTTGCCTTTGCCATCGCGAGCGGCTTCCGCCATTGCCTTGACAGCTCTACGCTGTGTTTCGCACAGATTCCAGTCGCTTTCTTCCAGCAGCCGGAGAGCATGTTCCCCCGTCGGTACCAGTTGGCGAGGGAGCAGGTATACAGCAGGCACGAGTGCAAACATTGTTGACCATAGCGATCGATGTAGAGCCCTGACGCACATAGGAGTCAGCTCGTACTCTGGGCCTTCTGCCAGACCGCCTATGTGCGCATCGATGAACCAAGCACTGGAGCCTTGAGAGGTGCGAGGAGCCGAGGCGTAGGTATCGAAAGATCCGCTAGCTTGGCCACTCTGAGCTCGAGATCCGCCAGACGGAGGAATGAAGAGGAAGTCGTCGTCCATCTCGGCAACTCTAAGCGGGCTGTGATCGTTGCGAGAAGCACCGAAGCTAAAACCTTGACCGCGAGGCCCATCTTCCTCGCTAATATCTTCGTAGCTCATTGTAAGAGTGAAGCGTCAAGAAGTTTATGAGGCGACAAAGTCAGTGGCGGATACGCTTGACGCCGTGGAGCTGAAGCTGGTCGAGTAGGCAGAGCCAACCTAACACTTGAAGCCTCCTGCTGGCGTACTTCTCCTGGTGCTAGGCACGCCACAACCACGGCGGCAAAGGGGTCAAGATGTGAGAGGGGAGGCAGCTAACTGGAAGCGCCTGGGTAGCGTTGAGTGGACGGAGCAAGTGATGGCAGGGTCGTAATGTGCTTAACGTAGTCAGAATCGAGTTGTGAGTCAAGAGTCAGTTGAGTGAGTGTGTTGCGTGTAATCGCATATCACAAATGAAGCTACCGCACTCTGCTGCTGCTGCTAGGCCCTGCTGCATGCACGGGCAATGATGATATCAATCACGAATACAGGTGGCGGTACTGTAATCCAATCCCTGCTGCAAGAATCTCCGCGAGTCCGCGCAGTCCAACGCGCGTCAGTCACTGCCCTTCACGCAGTCTGAATTAGGTGGCATCGATCTCGTCTCTCTCGCGTGATCGTGCAAACACATCAGCTAACAGCTCCAAGACTTTGAACGGCTCAAGTCTTGAGTGAGTCGCTAGTCGGGTGTGATTCTTCAGGCGCACTTTATATGCTTGACCTAGCGCGCAGGTGGTGAATCGGTCCTTTCGGCCACTTTGGGCCACTCAAAACTTCGCTGCCTCTACTTCGGCCAACAGCTCATCCTCAGAAAGCATCAGCAAATTCAGAGGGAAGCACGCAGAATGACCCTACCAAGCTGGCACAGTCACCAGTCAAGAGTGTCTTCTCGCGCTCACGACGCGGACTGGAGGCAGTGCTGACTGGGAACGCTTGCGGACCTCCAACGAGACTGAGGGGCTCTATCTGCTCATTATGAATGAAGGACTCTATGATGGGATATTCGATGTACAACAGGCGCACAGGGCGGCGCCGAGGGAGGTTGACAATGTCGGACGTGGAGCGATGGCCGTCGCAAAGACGTGCTTTTCAATGTGCAGGGCTCGTCAGCAGCACTTTGAGCGCTTCTGATCAGGCAGCACTGAAGGTGGGGAAGCAGGTCTTGATGTCCTTGCCAGGATGCTGCGAGGGTCGAATAGGGAATGTGCGTTCAGCTGCGAGCCAAGATGGGCCGTTCGGCGACGAAGATTCTCTTTTGCTCCTCACCTTTCCGTTGATGTGCTCCATTAGCTAAATGGCATGGGAAAGGGTGAGAGATGGGTCGTGGATATGAAGGGTCAGCACGGGTCAAGTGCGCGGCAAGAGGGTTCCAAGGCTCATCTCAGGAGCAAAAAGGTGATATGACCACCCGTGCCCGTGCCCGGCGCCCTTGTCCATCCCCGCGTCATTCATGACAACAGAGGCTTTGAGAGCGCTGTTGCGCCCGGCTCGAGCCTTGCTTCATGGGGACCACCTGAAGACACTGCTCATGAAGGCGGCTGGCTAGACCAAATGCCACATCATATGACAGCTCATGCCCTGCGCCATGCCTTCCTTGTTGAGCATCCGAAACGATGTCCCTCTCCAGCCGTGTTTGCCTAGCAGCTCAAAGGGATGCTCACAGCAGGCGCTCGGACAGTCTGTGACAGCAGAAAGGAAGACGACACTCTAAATCAGTTCGGCAGCTCAAACACAGCTCTTACAACGGCGGACTTCAACTACTCTTGATCACAACTCACGCTCATGAAAGGATGTTTGCAGATGCCGCACTGGACAGTCAGGGATGCCTCTGTGTGTGTGTGCGAGCGCAGGTGAAGAGTGCGAGAATGCTAGCTTTGAGTAATGTGCACCCACAATCGCACGGCGTGGAATGCCTAGCAGAGCGGCATGCATGTCCAAACCAAACACCACAAAGGCAGCCCCTCATTGCACGCTTGACGGCACTCACGATTCGCCTTGAGCTGAGATGTGGGTCCCTTCTTTGCCTCTTTAGCATTGCGTTCCCGCTTCTGTTGGGCTCGATTTCCGTTTCCCATCTTGGCGCGCTGCGCTCAAAATCGTGTCTCTCTCGCGCGCTTTTCAATACCAACAGCTACAAGTACGGCTTTCCTCTTCAACGCACAAAGGCGGGTCGTTTTGCAGCGCTGTCACAAGAGCTCGTGGGGCTAGAGGAGACGAAGCGCGTCGGAGGTGGATGGTGGTGGACGTTGCTGGTAGAGGAGCTCTCGGATTTCGATTCGAAAGTCCATGCAGGACTTGCCCCACTCATGACTTTCCATTCGTGATTCGCTTCCCATCGCAATCACAATCGCGAAATCTTGAATCACCTTGGTCACTGCAGGGGCTCAGGGCACAACCACCCACACTCGCACTTTGACTACAAACATCAAGGCACTCGGGCGATCTCCATGCAGCCTCAGCTTCGGCGTTGCCCAAGCCATGCAGCCTTGAGCACGCACGCAGCTTCACGATCTGAATTCGCACCGCACCTGCACCGCGCAGAGCTTTTTTAGAACAAAAAAAAAA